GCCAGATGTAATGGGACACACACCTTCCAAAGAGTTCCACTTTTGTCTCATCGGTCCACAGAATGTTTTCCCAAAAGTCTTGGGGATCATCAAGATGTGTTTTGGAAAAATTGAGACGAGCTTTAATGTTCTTTTTGCTCAGCAGTGGTTTTCTTCTTGGAACTCTGCCATGCAGGCCATTTTTGCCCAGTCTTTTTCTGATGGTGGAGGCATGAACCCTGACCTTAACTGAGGCAAGTGAGGCCTGCAGTTCTTTGGATGTTGTTGTGGGGTCTTTTGTGACCTCTTGGATGAGTCGCCGCTGCGCTCTTGGGGTAATTTTGGGTGGCCGGCCACTCCTGGGAAGGTTCACCAGTGTTCCATGTCTTTGCCATTTGTGGATAATGTCTCTCACAGTGGTTCGCTGGATTCCCAAAGCTTTGGAAATGGCTTTATAACCCTTTCCAGACTGATAGATCTTAATTACTGTCTTTCTCAATTGTTCCTGAATTTCTTTGGATCTCGGCATGATGTGTAGCTTTTAAGGATCTTTTGGTGGACTTTACTGTGTCAGGCAGCTCCTATTTAAGTGATGTCTTGATGAAAACAGGTGTGGCAATAATCAGGCCTGGCTGTGGCTAGAGAAATTGAACTCAGGTGTTAAAAACCACAGTTATAGAATATTTTAACAAGGGGGGTGTTACGGTCACTGACCTCTAGGGGCTCCCTTTCTGAGAGAGCCCTATGTTTTTCTGTTTCAGTTCTGCCTGATTACTGCAGGTGAAGTGTGTTGGGGCTCGTCAGCCGCCCTATATAAGCAGCAAGCTGGAGATGCCAGATCCCCTCCTTTGTTTGTCCTGGGCTAGACCTGTGATCTTTGAGAGCTGACTGTGTGTGTGTGTGAATTAACCTGAGTTTGCTGTGAGCAACTCTGACCAATTGTCTAAGACATGTTTTTGTTCCAAGGTGGAAGCTGGTAGGGGTTCTCTGCCATTTTTGTTGTAACCCGTTTTCTCCTGGTTTTGGTTAGTAAGGGAGTTTAGGTTTTGTATTTTCTTTTAGTTCTTCTTTAGAAAGTGGTTGTTTTATTTTACAGTTATAAGGGGGTGTTTTGTTTATTATTTTGGCCTTGGAGACCCTGAAGCCTTAAGCTACCCTGTGTTTTTTTTTTTTTTCGCCTGTAGCTGTTGTTTTTATCAGGATTGTAAAATAAATTATACTTTTTTTTACTTATCAACTGTTCGGATTACTTTTTTTCGTTTTATGTTAAAGCCCAGTGCCAGAATTTACTATAGGAATTTTAGGGTGGGGTTGTAACAGGGGGCAATCACTTTTTCACACAGGGCCATGATGGTTTGGATTTTTTTTCTCCTTTAATAATAAACACATTATTGCATTTTGTGTTTACTTGTGTTGTCCTTGACGATTGTTTAAATTGGTTTGATGTTCCGAAACACTTAAGTGTGACAAACATGCAAAAAAACAGGAAATGAGGAAGGGGGCCAACACTTTTTCACACCACTGTAAGTTTAATAAAAATGGGTTGGAAACAGAGTCCTTGAACAGTTTAGCTTATGTGTAAGGGCTGTGCAAAATATGTTTTTTCATTTTTTGCACAAAATCATTCTTAGATAATGAAAGTTAGTCTGGTCAGTTCTGCTTATTTTGATCTCCTTTCAGAACGAGCTGTTTTAGGGCCTCTAGTCACTTTAAATCGAAATGAGCTGATGTAGGCCATACCCCCCAACTCAACATTTACATTTGCACGTGAAAATTACTGCAAATAGATGCACAACTGCACAAACATGTATCTTTGAAAAGCATGAGAAAAGCCTCCGGCACAACCAACAAGAATGCAACAAGAGGTTTCAGGTTGGTGAATCAACAAAACACTTATCTTTTCCAGCAGCCATTGTACAGCATGGTTTTACGATTTACAGTTGTAAATGATAAAACATTTACAACTGTAAATGTGACAATAAGTGACAGGCTAGTGACTTATTGTCACTAGCCAATAAGTTGCTTGACAAACAACAAAGCACAACCAGTCTCTCTTTCTTCTGCAAACGTCATGAAGGTTTCCCAGTAGCTCTGATTTTTAGCTGAATAAGATCTGGACAATATGGAATATATTTTTTTTTTCCAGAACTAAAGCAGTAAAGGTCATGAAACTTTTTTGTTTTTCTTTTTTTCTCTTTTTAAATCTTCTAAGGCTTAGAAGATTTAAAAATAATCTTCTAAGCCTTAGTCAATAAGGCTAGTGACTTATTGATAGTCACTAGCCTGTCAATAAGGCTAGTGACTTATTGTCAGTAGCCACAGGCTAGCCTTATTGACACTACCCTGTCAATAAGGCTAGTGACTTATTGACAGTCACTAGCCTGTCAATAAGGCTAGTGACTTATTGTCACTTAGCAAGCTTGGCTTGGTAAATGACAGGCTAGACTTCACTAGAGTTGCTAGGTAATGGGCTGGGCTCACAGTGGTTGTTAGATGAGGGGCAGTGCCTGCTGATTCGGAGGTTTATGAAATGGCTAATTTTCCAGACACCAAAAAACATTAACTTATTGCCAAAAAAACAGCTGGGTGGGTTTTTTTAAACGCTTGAGTTGCTTTTAGAAGCAGTAGAAACCCAAATGGAGAAACAAAATGTGTAAAATGTGAATTTTGTATAATATACCTCCATTAACACCCCCACTGTCCGAAATATACTGTACATGTACTTAGCAGGAACACACATTAACTTGCATTCTTCTCAATGTACTTCTTTTCAGTAAAGCCTGGAAGTTCTTTCAGAAACAACATCACAACCATAGAGTTGAGCTTACACAATTTTGAAGCAGAAGGAAACTTTCTTTTCCTGGTAGGAGACTTGGTACAGGTGTTCTTCATCCACATGGGTGGGAATCTGTAGATCTGGTAGCCTGCCGTTTACTAGATTTCTCTGATCAACATCTGTTCCCCAGGTAACCTTAAACAGACAGAGAGCATACATTCAACAATAGGGGCACAGAAAGACACAGAAAAGAAGTGGCCTTAAGAATTACAATATAAGCAATACATTAACACACCTTAATATTGGAGGCAATTTCAGCAGTAATTGGGACCTCTCTTCCAGCCTCATCATACAGCTTGTAAAACAGCTTCTCCAGCACTCCTCCGGCTTGCCACTTTATCTTTTCATTGTTCTTCAACACCAGCTCTTCCTCGCCCTGAGAGAAAAGCTCCATCCGCGAGATCTGCTTGCTGGGCATGACCATCAGCTGTCTAGTCACTGGTGCAACCTGCTTCTGACTCTAACAGAAAACAGTGAAAAGATGAGCAAACTCGGAAACTGAGAATACTGCTGGGATATTTTTTCCTTAACTTACAGGTATTTCAAATCTAGCTTCTAGTATTTGCGGTTCTCCATTGACAATTTTTTCTTTTACAGGCTTTGTCACAAGCTCAGCTTTTCCTGCGCTGCAGTCTTTTGTCATCAAAAGGAGCCCAGGAATCTGTAAAACAAGACAAACAGCAAACATAAATCTAAAGCTGAGGAATTTCTGTAACCTTCATGGTTGTCAGCATATGTCCATACCTGGCAGTGAACTTCCAGTCCGGGGAAGCGAGTGATGTTCCCAGCCTCATCATGGACTTCAATCTCAAAGCTCACCGGGTTTCCATTCTCCACTTCCACTGGGTTTGTTTTTGATTTCACAAGAAGTGAATGGGGATTTCCTAAGATTTTAAATTTAATTGAACCATTGATTCATTCTTTGACAGAAACGGCAAAACAGTATAAAGGGAGTGCAAACAGAAATGTCATTGAAGCAGGTGTTTTCAAGAATTTGTGTTTCTTTTATTTATGGAACAGGACCTTTTTATTTAAGGACACACAGACAGTGTAACAAGACTAAAACACATGAAGCATCCATAAAAAAGGTAACAGACTATGAATTATTAATAAAAGCAGTCTTACCAGGATGAAGAGAGATTTTCGTGGTCTGTGTGTCATCTTTAAGTCCAGGGAGTGTCACTTTCAGGTCATAACTCTGAAAAAAAATATGCTATTATTATTTTTCCAAACAAACACACAGCTGAGACAGTTGTTTTAAACACCTCAGGTTATGCACTTTAGACAAAAATGCAATGGCAATAATATTGAAAATATTGAAGGAAAGATGTCAGTTTGAACAAAGCCACATATTTATAACTTCCCTAGTTTCTCATCTGACGTTACATTCCTTTCTTTCTCTGTAACCCCTTTGAACCATCACTGTGTTGGGGTGTGATAATTTATTGCAGTGACGTTCAACCAACAAGGAAACTACCTCGAACATGGCGGAGTTTAGGAGTTTTCCCTTGGCTTTGACACCTTGGATGGTTAACAAGACCCCACTGCAAGTTGTCGTCTCATAACTCAGTTCCAGATCGCTAAAGGACAAAGTGATGACAAAGTGACAGAATAAAAATTAAATACTGACTGAACTAATAAGTAAAATCTGTAAATACTGATTAATGACCCACGTGCTTTGAAGAGCAGGTTTGATATTGGGAGGAGGTTTTGTTGGGTGGTTATAACAGTCTTTCATCTGCAGAGGAATGTCAAACGGCTCTCCCACACGTAAAGAGGAACTCAGCTCCCCAACAGAAAAGCTCTCTGCATCTCCCTCTAAAGAGACAAAAATCACTTAGATGTAAATATAAAGGATATCAAAATTTAGTAAGGTTTCTTATAAACTGGCAGCACACATTAATTTTACCTTGGATAGTAAACTCGTGCTTGTATTTTGGAAGCTCTCTGCCACCGTAAACTGTGGTAATGTTGTCATTTAACACAGTAGATAGAGTCAGTGTGTACTTCCCCAATGTGCGGAAGTTTTCTGCAGAGCATAGAACACATTAGTGACTTTGAGTGAAAAAATAAATGAAAATGGAGTCTTGAGTTATCAATAATATAAAACTAAAAAAGAAAACAAACCAAATTTGTTGAAGCAGTGTCCTTTCCCAGCTATATAGGGGGCAGTGTTAGAAAGAACTTCATCTTCTTTAGCACAAAAACAAACAAGAAAGCACATAAATAAACCATTCAAAGTATAACTTCAACATATCCACATTTCTCACAAAATATCCTCCTTCCTTCCCTGCTTCCTTCCATTCTTCTCTTCATCCCTACTTTCCTTCTTTCTTTCCGTCCTTGTGTTCTCATGTTGTCTTTGCTCCTGTCTCTTAACTTGTCTTACAAATAAGAAACATGCTGCAATGTTGGAAATTATGTGTCTATGAGACAATATCAAATAAGGCTACGGATATTGAATACATGAAGAGAAGTGGAAAAAAGACCTTCCACCTCAACACACTATGACTTGCTGGACAAATAGTTTTCAAACCTTTCATTGGATTGCTAAGAGAGTCAAAGACTTTTGAGAGTATTGAGAGCTTATTTCTATCTACAGCACCAATTAAATTATTGAATATTTCTAAAGTTGCTGTAACAGTGCTATGTCTTACTCTAATACCTGACTGAAAGTTAGTTAAAAATACCATAGTCTTTCAGTTGTTCACTAAATAAAGACCAGTGGTGGGATGTACAAGTACTTCATTGGATGGGACGTGTACAAATACAACTACTTTGTGACTGTATTTAAGTACATTTTTTATGTATCTGTACTTTACTTAGGCAGATTTAATCGTGGGTACTTTCAATTTCAACTTCACTGCATTTCTATAAAGCGTTATGTTACAGGTTATATCCAAGTCACATTGTGCTTATTTGATTTGTTCATTAATTTGAATGTAATCAATGGTGAGAGGGGAAATGGTCCACTGAACCACTGCAAAGTGGGAAAGTACTGTTAGACCCTCCCTCAAGAAGAGCAAGGCGGGTACGCAGCACCTGCAAAATCATTAACAGCCAAAATGGAGTTCACAAATGGTAGTCATCCAGAAGACCTGCGTCACCCATGACCTTATTTAAAACATTTAGTTGAGGTAACTGGGTCAAAAAATGACTCCTGGAGATTCCGGTGCCACCTTTGCCTTCCCAGAAAGCATAAACTTCTAGATTTCAAAAATTTACCATCAAATCTGAAAAAAACATATCAAGGTAAGTTCAGTTGCTAAACACTATCTGACCTTTGGGCATTGATTTGGGTTAGTGAAGTTTTATGTAATTCTACCAAGCTTCTCATTGAAATCGACTGCAATAAGAAAACAAAATTAAATTGTTATAAGCAGTCTGGGGAACATGGAGCGCAGTGTCTCCTGCCATGAATGTCCCAGGCAATGTTAAACTCCTCCACATCCTGGTTATTGAATTAATGCTAGCGTCATGTGAATAATGTTCATCTCATATTAAGAATTACAGTCTTATTCAATAAATTAGAATCTGACAAACAATGAGGCTAGTTTGTCAGATTTTGAAAACAAGTGAGGTATTAAACACTTTTCTTTTGACTCAAATGTCTAGTTTTTTTATTTGTCTATAATCTAATCAGAATTTGTAATGTTGCTTCAATAACTGTAAGCAACAAATCATCATCATTAACAAATAAAAGCTTTAAAAGAGTTTGAAGCAAATCAATCATGTATGATGCATTTAACTTGTGAGCTGAGATAATGAAATACATTAACTTTTCATAAATATTCTAATTTATTGAAAATGATTGTAGCTAAGGACTACTAGAGTGATGCAGGTCATCTCTGAAATCCTGATGAACAGAATCACAAACCTGAATCTAACTTTGCTTCAGAGAGTAAACACAATAAAAACATGATTTATCTGTAGTACTGTTCATTAAAATAGCACATTACTGATGTATTAAAATTAAATACGATAGGTACACTTAACAATATTGTAGTAGCCATTAGGTAATACATTCAGCAAGTACTTTTACTTTTAATGCTTTAAAAGTAAAAGTCAGTACTTTCTTACTTTAACTCAAGTAAAAATGTTAATATGGTACTTCTACTTTTACTAGTGTACATTTTTGTCTGTATTTGTACTTTTATGTATTCACATTGTTTGAGTACTTTCTCCACCACTGATGAAGACTCCTGTACAGACAGCTTAGAGATCATCTTATAGTTGTTCAAATTATTTGGGTTCCCACTTTCATAGAGTGAAGTATAAAACCGGACTTCCAAACTTAGAGCTGAGCTAAGGGAAAGTTAAAGGATCAGTACTGTCTTTGTGTTTTGTCTTTAAAACTATGCAGGTTAACAAACTTAGATTTGATGAAGAACTGGTTTAACGCCAAAGACAGTGAAAATGAATTTTATTTTTATTTTTTGATAATCTTACCATTAAACACCACCTTGAGTGAAACACTCAGATTTATCCTGTGTTTCCCCATCTGAATCTTTGAGGATATGGAGTCTCCATCACTGTTTAGAATTTCAACTTCAAGAGGTCCTGAGAAGAAGTTTCACAAATGAAGATGAATATGCATGAGTTGAAAAATCATATTTTGTGATTCATAAGCTGACAGCACAACATTTTACCAATAGGAGTCCCAGCAGGCAACACAGCATTTTCAGGCAAAACATTGCCTTCTGCCCAGTTAACTTTTAGGGAATGTGGGAGCCTGAAACAAAGAAATTATTTTTAAGGAAGAATTTGTGAACCTGAGAAGGCTGCACCCTATTAAGACCAGAGTAAATACAAACAAATAAAGTGGCAATTTCAGTACAGCAAATTTCCTTACAAAAGCAATCCATTTATGAAAAGTAAAATTTCCTCTAGTTTTTGTCTTACTTCTTCCTTTCATCCTCAATGTGATCTTTGATGCTTTCATCTGTGGCAGTCTTGTCAATCTTAGCAATGGGTAGGACCTTGATGATCTCTTCATAAAGTCCTTCAGGCTCCTACAAATTAGATTTTTAAAAAAGTTTTTAATATTTTGCAAATAAGTATATACAAGTCAAAAAACTGAGCTGCAAACTTTCTCTTCACATCGATATTCATGTTGAGGAGTGTTCCATATCCACACGAATGAATTTTAAGAATAATTTTATTAGTCAGACCAAATTTATCAGCAGAATGTACTCCAAATCCCTGAATTTAGATCTTTCAGAAAATATATATAACAACTGACTGAGTTAAACGTGCTCTATCAGGAGAAATGGAAAATATTTTGGTAAGCTATTATGAGGATATGAAGGATATCACAGAGCATATCATGCAGTGAAAAGACAATTCTTTATCTCACACACTCACTTGCATTATGCTGTTATGTTACTCCTGCAACTGACTTTGGAAGTTGGTTTTTCTGTTGGGAAAAACTTTGGTTTCGGTACTTGTGGACTACGGCTTCTTGTTTTTTTTTTTTTTTCCATCTAATCTTTTTCCCCAAGCCCCAAGTTGGCTTAAACAAATGGCCACTCATACTGAACTAGATGCTGTTGGAGGTTTTTTCTTGTTGATGGTGAGTTTGCCTTTTTGCAATCAGGGGGAGAAATTACAATAAGGTCACAGGGTTTTCTTAGAAAAGAAACTTTTGATAAAATCTATTTGACTACACTTCAACTATCTGTCTGACTGGATTGATCAAATTATGTTTCTTTACAAAATGTTATCCCTTTATCTTGTAACAGGCTCAGTGTGACATTTGATCAGAGTTTATACCCCATAAATAAACACACTGAACTGAATTATCCATCTATAATGGCTTTATCTTCTCCTTTTCTTTCTGCTGAGACTATTTTGGCTGTTGGGACCCATCAACCTGAAGTATTCAATGATCTTTGCTGTTTTGTCCTGAATTGGAGAAGCACACACAGAGTCCACTTGGGACTGTGAGAGGGCTAAACATTACTTTGGATTTCTGAGTAATGCAGAACTTACAATGGATGTATCAGTTAATATAACAAAATTCTCTCAATTCAAAAGATATCAAATTATCTTCACCCTTAATATAAGATACAATGCTTTAAAAACCCCTCAAATCCATTGTAGTGTTTTTCTAATTAAATTAAATAAAATAATCCACAAAGCTAAATTTTCTTAAAATTAATGAGAACACAAAGATACTACTTCAATCACTAAGTCTAATAAAAGCAATTGATTATTTCCTTACACATTTGATTTCCACATCTCCGCCTGTGGCAAACGTGTCTCCTTTATGATTTCCATGCAGAAAGAATTTTACCACAGTACCACAAAGTATTGATGGTGTCTTCTGAAACATTACCTGCATGGAAAACATTTTACAAAGAAAAACATAAATTATTATATTCTTTAGATTATTATTCTATAAAATTTAGGAAGCACTTACAATGTCCCCTGCATTGTATCTTCTGCCGTGTTGCTTAATAGAGGAGAAAACTGCCCAGGGTTGTTGCTTTTTCTTGGGCTGCCCTTCTGGTCGTTTCACAGTTCCTTTGTAGTCAATAAACTCCACCTGTTTGTCCAGCGTCTTGTGACAGTTTTGTAGCCAGTTTGTAAACTCTTTCTGAATGTCCCCTCTTCTTGGGCATTTCTGTGAAACATTCAGAAACAATTGGTCACCTGAATGAATGGCAAAAAACTGTTTCTAATATGAAATAGTATGACAATAAAGCAGATGGTTACCTGAATAGGACAAATACGGGTGAAATGTGTGCCCGGTTGCTTCAACTGCTTCTCCAGTTCCATGAATTTCAGCTTGGTTGCACTGACATGAAATTTGCTATCAGTGAAAAGCACCCCAGAAAAGCGGCTATAGCATTCTTCTGGTAATTTAAATCCTTTCTTCTGGCACCAGTCAAATCTGGAACACAAAAATAATTTAAAAACACACCCACACGCACAAAAACACAGGATAATAACTTATATAAAAAAATATATTTAAATTTAAATTTTCAATTTGTTTTTTAGGTCCCCAAATATGGAGCCCTAGAAGGGACATATTTTATTCATAAATATTCATAAATGTATTTATGAATAAATATATTCATAAATCCTTATATAAATGTACCATGAAATAAATATTAAAACAAAAGTTTGTGATATATTAATTAATTAGTGAAATGTTTATTAAATAATTGAAATAGATTTGCTGCTCTTCTTGCAACATTATCATGATTAATTCTACCTGCCATGTTTGATTTAAGCTTTTATTTACACATTGATTCTTGATCACAGGGATTTCAGTGTCTAGATAATATGTTCTAATCCCGGATAGATATAAATAACAGCGAGAAATGTTTAAAATGTAATGGTATTGTATCGTGGCAACATGGATTTGCTATAAACAGATATATAACTGGTTGACTAAATAATTAATATTACAGCCAAGAAAACTGCAAACTCATTTTGCAGCTTATATACTTTAACCTGTAAGATTTACAAACTCCATACTTTTCTGAATAAGAATCCGAACATGGGCATTCAATTATGCTAAGGCCTTACTGTTGTGCCCATTTACAATTTGTTTCTAATTTTTGAAAGTTTAGGTTTAGTTTTTATGATTCGGTTCATTATTTTTTATTTCGAACCAAAGTAATGTGATCCATTTTGTTCTGCTGAAGCTGTTCTCATGAAGTTAATCAATACCAAAACCCTTTAACCACAAGTGAGAAACTGCTATATACCTCAGTGTACAAATAATTTAAAAACATAGTCTTAAAAATGAAAATCATTCCCATAATAAATAAATACATACCCAGAAATGGCGGTGTAAGGGATGAGCCGTCCGTTCCAGAAACACTGAAAGATGTCCCTCCTTCCTCTTGCTTGACCTGTGGCTCCAGACTCCCTTTCATTATTATAATCATCCTCACCAGGAGCTAAAACAAAAAACCAAATTATCTTTTGAGACGCATTTTACTAAGGGAATTATCAACTATAACACATCTCAGGCAAGCGCAGGAGAGGAAGGGGTTTGGGGCTTGTCCTCACAATAGCAGGAAAAAACCCTCCTCATCCCCAAACAAAGAAATGGTTTGGCTGCCTTAGTTCTGGACTAAATGTCCAGTTTTAGGGAAGATTTAGGGAAGTCTGTTACAGTGGGCGCAGGCTAATTGGTCAAGCTTAAAATCAATCACTGATTATTGGGCATTATTTATTGTGATGTATTTGTGAACAAACCAAGCTCAAACACAAATATTCCAGATATCACCATATTGTAGCCATGGTAACACAATAATCAAACTATCAAGATTATTCTTTACATGTTTACAAAGTAAACGTCCTAATTAAATCCTAAATGAACAATTTATTTGTATTTATTTTATCTCTACTGATGCATTAAATCAATTTAATAGCATTGTCATTGTCAATAAATGAGTGCTAAAGTTTTAGAATTGAACCATTTATAGGGGCCCCTGAATGTCTGGAGGGGTCTACCAGCAGCTACTGAGTTTTCTTTGCATTGATTACAATTCTAGATCTCAGACGTGCCAACAACAAAAAATTATATAGTGTTAACCCCTCTGAGCTTTTCTGATATTTAAAGCAATCTGCAGCCAAGTAGTTATAGAGGTTTAACAGACAGATATTGACTGACTGTTTAACATCTGACTGTTTAACTTCTATAACTGGGAACTAGGAGATAGGAACTAGGAACAGGAACTGCCTAGGAACCTGTTCCTGTTCCTAGAAACTAGGAACAGGAACAAGCTAAATAGCTAGTTCCTAGCTATTTAGCTAGGAAGTAAAATAGCAGCAAATTTGGTTATTTCACAACATACTTTATAACTAGTGACCTTCTCTCCTATGATCTGTTTAGAAACTATAGTGCCATATCAACACAGTCCTCCAGCACTGTCAGCAGCAGAAACCCCCGAACGGCAACATTATATCTATCGGGGAAAACAAATTAAATTTGCTTTGCATTGTTCCCACATGATGACAATGATATAGAATGATCTAATTAAATTTTACATTCTTGATTAATATGGGTTGTTGCTATGTTGTTTTACGGTGTTTAAAGATCTTGTTCAATGTGCCCCTTTTTAACTTTGAGCCACTGCCCCTCCAAAGGTCTCTGCACGGCCCTGTCACATCTGAATACCTTGATAAACAAATGGATCCTCAGGGTAGGTCTCCTTGTCATAAAGGAACGGATGATATCGAAGGAGACCCTCCACAATGCCTCTGTCTGGAGTGGTGGCCCTGAACTCAAATGTGTCTTTGGCTGCATTTATGAATAGAGTCTGCATGTCGTCTTCCACTTCTCTGAGATTCATCCTTTCTTTTTTTTTTGAAGCCCACAAAGTCACCTGATGAATTTAAAGAAAATGGAACATGAAAGTATGTTAAAGACGTACAGAAGTTGTCAAACCAGTAAGAATTACTGTGATCAGCCTTACAACAATGTCAATTCTTCGGAAATCATCTGATGTTGGAGAGATGTCTGCTTTGCAGTTTCCATTGACCCCGTGAATGTAGTAATGATAAATGTGACTGAAACCCATGAAAAACAAACATTATGACCATGACCCACACATTAGACTTGTACAGACTTAATCTCAGGTGGATGAGTAAACTCACGCCAGCTCTCTGGTCCACTCCTTAAAGTTCTTTTTCAGGTAATTGATGTGGTCCTGAAATATTCCTGTGATGACAACCACAGTGAAGCTCTCTTTCTCAGTTTCTTCAGCGATGATGGTACGAAGAAATTGTTCATCATTTGTTATGTGTGAGAAGTCACCAGGCTGCCAGATGAAGGAGAAATTGTCCTGTTCATCTCAACAATTCCAGAATCATTGTTTTTCTTTGATAAAGTAAAAGCCCTCACCATCCTGTTGAGAATTTTGCTTCTGTAAACGTCCTGTTTCTTCTGTTCTTTTTTCTGGAATTCATCCTTTGATAGAACCAGCTCATGAACATCTGGAGAGCCTAGAGGTCTGCTGATCATCTGTTAATTGTAAAACATGTATACTTTTTTTTTTGCCATGTATGTTTTTTTACACATTTAAGCTGACTTAAGAAAAACTGATTCATTTTATATGAAAATATACAACAAAATAACTGTTACTTCCCCATCTGTAATTCTTTTAATGTGTCAAGTACAAAAGTTTGTACTTTGTTTGGAAAGTGGATGTATCAGTATGCTATACCATATAGAAATGTAAGTGACTGTCCTAACTCCTCTCTTGAAATGAATTAAAAATGCTAATGGACTTACTCTCACAGCATTCCCCATGTGGAAAACCGCTCGTTTTCCTCCAACTCCGAAAAAGGAAATGTCACTGTTGAGACTGCGAGGCACATGAGCAGGATGAACATATCCCTCTGCTTCACTAAATTCCACCACAAATTAGATTAAATAAGAAAGAAGTAATATATCAGGGTTCTTCTTAAACAGACTGGTGAAAAGTTTTTTTTTCTGAATATTTTTCAAAACAACAACTAAAAAAATACAACCTTTCAAATGTGCTATTTTCCCTTGTGAACTTAGAGAGTCTGTAAACAGCCCAGTTATTGAGATGCTTGGAGGTCATACCAGACCCATTATCCAAGACAATGATAGCAGGCTTCCCCAATGTTTTGTTAAAAAGCTGTCCAGAATGGAAAGGAAAAAAACACAAGTTATGCACAATTATTAAAATAGAATTTAGGGGCTTCTACTTTGGTTAATACACAATTTATTATGCCTTGTAAGTATTCATTCACATAAAACCTTTACCAACCATCCTTATCTCTATACTCCTGCTTCCAGTGTTTTTTGCTGTTGCTGAAAGAGCATTGTCCACCAGCTCAGCAAGAGCGCAGGCTGAAAGAAATGACACAAAAACACCAGATGGTTAAGGTTTTAAGCTGTATCTCTTGTTCCCAGAGTATGATCACCACTTTGACTACATTAATACCCACGCAGTGATTTCTGGCCCTCGATAAAGTATTCATTTGCCCCACTTTCAATCAGTGTGTTGTAGTGAGGAACAAAGTTAATCTCTTCCTCAACTGAAGACAGCAGGACTTGGTCTATTTTTTGTAGCAGATAGAGGGTGGTGCCATCTTTCAGTTTTTCTGAAATGAGTGAAAGAATAATATTCTATGTTCTCATTAGTGTCTTCCTCTGTTTTGTAAACATGAACAGGTTTACTTACCAAATTTATCAGCATCCACTATTATTCTGTCAGTTGTTGTCAACACAAATGTCTCATTTGAAGGGACAGAAAATTTCTGTGGGGACAAAAAACAATGATATCTGATCCAGTTAAATAATTTTTGAGAACAGACACTGATGTGGGATGAAAACTACTGGCCATTTATTTACATCAGTGGTGCTCATTTACCTTGGAAAAAGGACATGATAGGAAGACCTTTTTTGTGATTAAGTGCAATACTTTGGGAAATTCATATAATTTTCATAGTAACTTATGACTTATGTGTGGGGAATAGATATTTGATACACCACAATTTTTAAGTTTATAAGAGGTCTATAATTTTTTATTGTAAGTACACCTCAACAGTGAGAAACAATTAGCAGTTAAAATGACTAATTATTTTAAAAATAATAAAATATGAATTTATGAACCTTCTTTCCAATTCTGTTCCTCACAACTGATCTGCAACTGTGGTGAAATGTTTACCTATGTGGAGAGTTATAATATCTTATTGTTGAAATTTAGCATTAAATCAAATCCCATATTTTTCAAGTTGAGAATTTTCAGGCATATGAGAATTTTTATGGAATAAGAAAAAAGTATAACTTTAAAGAAGGCAATTTAAAAAGTTTAGAGCTTTTTAAAAAATCCATATTCTAAAAACATGCTAACACTGTAAAAGATGAACATACAATCTGACACTTAAACTGTATCTGTTTTCACAACTGTGACCCTGTCCTAATACTCTACTTTCACACTTGTTCTGCCCTTGTGTCCTTCAAATGTGCGTTCATCTTGAAAGGGTTTGAATGCGTAGTGTGTCCCACATTCTACACATCTGGCTTTTACCCCGCCCATTTTGTGTCCGATGCAGACTTTAGCGAAGTGCATTACCCACAATTCATTGCTGCATGTGATTGTTTGAGACAAAAGGCAAGGTTTTATTTTTTTTGTTTTTATAGAAAATTCAAATATGACAAGGCACACATTAGTAACAAGTTTGATAAACTGAGCAGAAAAAGAAGAAATAAAAAATAGTCAGAGGAAAGTAAAATAACATGTTACAAATGCAAGACAAATTTCAAATCTTAAATTAGGCTTTTGTGATGTTGCAACGTTTAAGCACTTTCTTAAATAAAATTATTTAACTTTAAAAATGGAGGGGATTTTGTGGATAAAAAACTTAACCAGATATTAAATTGTTAATATCATAGTTTAACTCTTCATCCTGTGAGAAGACCAAATTTCATTATATTAAAACTTAAAGATAGAATAGATTTCTTCTACAATATCTTTCTAAAAACATTAATGAAGTTGCAATTGAAAAGAGGTGTATTGTCTCAAAATCTCATTCATAAAACGCACAGGAATTTATATTTATTTCTAATTTCTTTTGCAGAAAGTCATTACAGAGAAGATTTAATGCTTTATTACGAAACTATCTATCCATCCACCCATTTTCTGTACACCCATGTCCCTTAGTGGGGTCGGAAGGTGCTGGTGGCTATCTCCAGCTAACGTTCCGGGCGAGAGGCAGGGTACACCTTGGACAGGTTAATTATGAAACCAATATCTTAAATTTTTTTGTGAGAGTGGAATGGAAACCTATTCGGTTTTTATTTTCTGTAGAGATCTTATCATAATTTTTAAACAAATGTTTTCTTCTTGATTACTTTCTTGTAACATTTTTGGTAAAGACACAACATTCATAGATTCTTTTAAAAGGGATATTTTAGTTCCATTAGTCTTTTTATTTTTCACAATATGGCATCAGGGCTTGTTTTTTCAAATTTTATATATGTTGTATGTTTGTCCTTAACTTAATTGTAGTTAGCACATTAACTCCAGTTTATAACAAACTAACTTTTAGTCACATAAAAGACATGTGTTTTTTTTTTGTAACAGCTGAATATGCAACCATGTCTCCAATAGTCAAATCGCAGACTGTTGAATCGATTATTATTACATTTTAATGTGTATTTTTTGTCATCCTGAAAATATCACAAAGTTCACAAAGCAAGCTAAGTTTGTCACAAAAAAAGAAAAAAAATCAACTTTCAAAATTGAAGTATTCAAATATATTTTGTTTCACTCTGCTGAACATGTGTGATTACATCAAACTTTGCTCCATATTCAACAAGTGATAACAAAACACATCTGAACAGTTAAAAATATCCAGCAATGCCTTTGGTAAGCAAAAATACCTTTACTGTATATTTAAAATATTTTTTTTGTTGTTGCAGTTGTACTTCTTAGCAACATAAATGCCTAAACAGTGACTAATCCCACCATTTTAGATGTTGAAGTTACGACACAGCGTCGAACTGTCCCAATTCTCAAATCTTTGCAAGCTTGCAACCTCCATACTCAAACCCTAATGTGCACTTCAACTGAATCCACACTTCATTTAGCGGTGTTGGGTACAGCCTGAGTATTGGGATTGGGCCTGTGAGTTTGCGTCTGAATTACTTTCATTTCTCTTCATTATCATCTAGTTTGTTAGAAACTGTGATGGTTTTGACCAGAAGTTTTATTGGAAGGCCATGCTGCATAATGTGCTGAATTTTCAAGATAAGCTCTGCTGGTCTCAGGTACTTCTTCTGCCAGGATGTTTCGTTTCACCAAACCAAACCATAACTCCACTTGGCAGTTGGTTTCTCTGGTTTTGCCAGTTCCATCTATTGTCTTGTGTCTCGTGTCATTTCAGAGCCCCAAACTCTGAGCCCACTTCACAGTGGGATGATCCCCATGTAGTTTTTCAGCAGAACATCAATTATACCAGGACGAAGTAATGATGTTCTATGTCGGTTGACTCACTCGACAGAAAGTCGGACTGTGCTTGGTCCTGTATCACTTGAAAACCAACAATGCTGCTATGTTTTTCAGTGAAGCCTTCTTCTGCTTACGTGTTGTTGACTATCTTGATCCTTGTTCTTCTTGTTTTGCAAAATGCAGCTGTCGAGGTAGGTTTAACTTGTTTTCACCTAATGGGTATATTATTTTGCATCAAAGAGTGCACAGATGTTACTCATCTCAGTGGCATGCTGTAGACTTTGGCAGTTCAGTAGGTATGCAAAGCAGAATGTTGCATACTCTTGTGTGCCTCGGTCTGCTAAATGCTTGGGTCACAGATTTTATAACATGGGCAGACCACAGATGCAACACTGACGTTTTTCATGCCAGCAGTTTGTCCATATACAATGTAAAAATGCTGTGGGAAGGTACACAGAAATACCTTCCTTGTTGAAAGATATAAGCACGACAGACTACTGATGGGGTGTGGCCCATCAGTAGTCTGTTTCAACCTGTGCAATTTATATTCTTGTTGTGTGTGACAGTTTCGTTTTTAATTCCATTAGTCAATGGGAAATGGAAGGAATGCTATGGCTGTTGGTGATAAATTTGGTCACAGGCAAGGGAGGTTTATCCTTGCCCATGCCTGGCAAAACTAAAGTGTAATATAAAACTTGCTTGTCTTGATCAGGGATTTTCTGGACAACACTGTCTGTTGTGTCAAGGTGGAGAGGGTAACAAGTGATGACTGTCTTAGATGTTGTTCCAAAATCCTTATTCTTGTCTCTGTGCATAGGTGAACCCCAAATGGATCTATTTATAGATGTTGAGAATAACCCTTAGATGTTTCTTGAGTACTTACTTCTTTAATCCCTTTCTGAGTTAACATGAGTTCAAGTATGAATTCATTGTGGAGTCTTGTACTCTTCTTTAACTCAGATTATATTTTCCTTAAGACATCTTTGTTTAGGCTTTTTGTAATGTTCTTGCATACCCCCAATTTGTTCAGTTGGTGTCTACTTGAACATTGAATAATAGTAATGGATTATTTGCTGGTCTTAATTGCCTTTTTTTTTGGTGTGTGACCTCACCGAAATGTTTCACAGAAGAACAGTTTTCTATGTAATCTGATTCGAGGTCGAGGATGATTTTTTTCTGAAGGTGTGCTTTGCATGACACCCATTAAAAATGCATTGTTCATGAGGATGAAAAATGCATGAAAAAAAGAGACTTTTTTTTTTTTTACGACTGCTGTTCATATTCACATGCTAATTATTTTCTATTAACTTATTATATAATGTGTCAGTCCAAGGGGGAGGTATTTGACTTTGACCATATTTGGTTTTATTTTGTTCTGCTGTTTCCTTGTTATCTTAATTTTAAACATTTTAGGGCCTGCATTGCACTTTTTGTAGTCACTTTGGTTGTCTTCATATTGTCCTTTTTTGTCCCTTGCTTTCATTCAGTTCCTCTTAGAATTAGTGTCTTTTTTTGTCTTCTTTTCCATCCTCATTTCCATCCTCATTTCCATCCTCATTTCCATTCACATTTCCATCCTCTTTCCTATACTCTTTTGTGTCCTTTTTTCCTATATGCTGTTCTGACTGTGGCTGTTTTGGATGGATTTCTGCTTTTCCCTGTGACTGCTCCCTGTCCTCAATCGTATTTTGTCCTGTGTATTCAGAGTAAACTTCTTGTGCTTAGATATACTATGAAGACTTTGTGTGTCAAAGCCTTTATAGGGCTGAACATATGGTTGTCCTTTTCGATCCCTTGTCCTTGTCTTAATGGGTTTTCTCCCTGAGTTTGTGCCTTTCTGTCTTCTATTACATCCTCTGTTCTGTCCTCTTTTTCTGCTGCTCTGACTGTGACTGTTTTGGATGGATTTCTGCTTTGACCTGTGGATGCTCATTGTTCTCAATGGTATTTCATCCTGTGTAGTCAGAGGACTTTTCTTCTCTTATACCACCCTTGGCTTCATCTTTGTTCTCGCTCACTCTGGCTGTAGAGGAGCTCTTAACATTACCCTTCTCACTGATTTCTCTACCTAATGAGGAACATATCCAAAATAAAATATATTAGGTGTAAATTTGGACATACAAAAAATTTCCAGCTTTTGGCCGCTTTGGATTTTTGTATTAGATTTTCACATGCGCGACTGTACAAGGAGTTAAGGTGCCTTCCTTTACAAGTGCCTTTCAAAGAAAAAGGGTACCTCTGGTTCATGTTTCACTCACTCTTTGAATTGCTTACCAACGGCATCAAGTTCATGCATTTGGAAAAGGAAATTATGTATATGAAAAGAAATATACTCTATTTGTAAAAAAAAAAAAAAAAAAAAGAAAAACAAAAAGAGAAAAAAAACCCTGGTGATATTTGACAAATAATACCGTGGACAAAATAATCTTTCTG